GTAGTACCAGTTCAACGTACATAACATGGGCGAACCACCTGAACTTTATCCGGACAGAGTGTACGTCTACAGTATATAGCTGATGAGCAGCACATCAACGTGGACAGCGATACACCTGGGGTTCATGCGCCGTGACTCTCTCATTTGTGTCAAGTGGTAAAGGACTAGTGGCTTCCAATATGTAACATTCTGAACAGAACTGTGTATTTGAAAGAACATTCAGTGTAATGTATTGGATCATGCTATACTGAGAGTGAACTGGATAGGATAGTAGAATTGTTTCGAGTCACTATGATGTGCTTGTGGTATGGTTAATACTTAGAGGGAATTGGATAGGATAGTAGAATTGTTTCGAGTCACTATTATGTTGTGGTGGTATGGTTAATACTGAGAGTGAACTGGATAGGAAAGTAGAATTGTTTCGAGTCACTATTATGTTGTGGTGGTATGGTTAATACTGAGAGTGAACTGGATAGGAAAGTAGAATTGTTTCGAGTCACTATGATGTGCTTGTGGTATGGTTAATACTTAGAGTGAACTGGATAGGATAGTATAGTTGTCTCGAGTCACTATTATGTGCTTGTGGTATGGTTAATACTGAGAGTGAACTGGATAGGATAGTAGAATTGTTTCGAGTCACTATTATGTGCTTCTGGTATGGTTAATACTGAGAATGAACTGGATAGTATCGTAGAATTGTTTCGAGTCACTATTATGTTCTTGTGGTATGGTTAATACTTAGAGGGAATTGGATAGGATAGTAGAATTGTTTCGAGTCACTATGATGTGCTTGTGGTATGGTTAATACTTAGAGGGAATTGGATAGGATAGTAGAATTGTTTCGAGTCACTATAATGTGCTTGTGGTATGGTTAATACTTAGAGTGAATTGGATAGGATAATAGAATGATTTCGAGTCACTATTATGTGCTTGTGGTATGGTTAATACTTAGAGTGAACTGGATAGGATAGTAGAATTGTTTCGAGTCACTATTATGTGCTTGTGGTATGGTTAATACTTAGAGTGAACTGGATAGGATAGTAGAATTGTTTCGAGTCACTATTATGTGCTTGTGGTATGGTTAATACTTAGAGTGAACTGGATAGGATAGTAGAATTGTTTCGAGTCACTATTATGTGCTTGTGGTATGGTTAATACTTAGAGTGAACTGGATAGGATAGTAGAATTGTTTCGAGTCACTATTATGTGCTTGTGGTATGGTTAATACTTAGAGTGAACTGGATAGGATAGTAGAATTGTTTCGAGTCACTATTATGTGCTTGTGGTATGGTTAATACTTAGAGTGAACTGGATAGGATAGTAGAATTGTTTCGAGTCACTATTATGTGCTTGTGGTATGGTTAATACTTAGAGTGAATTGGATAGGATAGTAGAATTGTTTCGAGTCACTATTATGTGCTTGTGGTATGGTTAATACTTAAAGTGAATTGGATAGGATAATAGAATGATTTCGAGTCAATATTATGTGCTTGTGGTATGGTTAATACTTAGAGTGAATTGGATAGGATAGTAGAATTGTTTCGAGTCACTATTATGTGCTTGTGGTATGGTTAATACTAAGAGTGAACTGGATAGGATAGTAGAACGATTTTGAGTCCCTATTATGTGGTTTTGGTTTGGTTAATACTTAGAACAACCATTGAATGGGTTATTTTGATTCTTCATATTGAAATGTAATTCTCTAGTCAGACTCTAATTATTGAAATACCTCAGTAGTCACAGCAGTCAGTATTGTGAATTGTTATCTGGCTGGTGGAGAGATGAAATCTTACGGAAATTTGGATACTGTAGCACTTGATTTTTGTTGTTGTTGTATATAAATTTGTTATTTGAAAATTTATATTCGGGTTTGTGTATTCCTTTCACTCGGTTTAACTCTACAAATGATTTCCCTGTCACTCCCTATGGTATGAGTTATCTGTCACTCCCTAAGGTATGATTTCCTGTCACACCCTTAGGTATGATTTCCTGTCACACCATAAGGTATGATTTCCTGTCACACCCTAGGATATGATTTCTCTGTCACTCCCTTGGGTATAATATCCCTGTCACCCCTAGGGTATGATATCTCTGTCACACCCTAGGGTATGATTTCTCTGTCAATCCCTAAGGTATGATTTCCTGTCACATCCTAAGGTATGATTTCCTATCACATTCTAGGGTATGATTTCTCTGTCACACCCTAGGGTATGATTTCCTGTCACTCCCTAGGATATGATTTTCAGTCACATTTTAGGGTATGATTTCTCTGTCACATCATAAGGTATGATTTCTCTGTCACTCCCTAGGGTATGATTTCCTGTCACCCCTAGGGTATGATTTCTCTGTCACTCCCTTGGGTATAATATCCCTGTCACCCCTAGGGTATGATTTCTCTGTCACATCCTAGGGTATGATTTTTTGTCACACCCTATGGTATCATTTTCCTGTCACATCCTAAGGTATGATTTCCCTGTCACACTCTAAGGTATGATTTCTCTGTCACACCCTAGGGTATGATTTCTCTGTCACTCCCTAGGGTATGATGTCTCTGTCACTCCCTTGGGTATAATATCCCTGTCACCCCTAGGGTATGATTTCTCTGTCACACCCTAGGGTATGATTTCTCTGTCAATCCCTAGGGTATGATTTCCTGTCACACCCTAGGATATGATTCCTCTGTCACATCCTAGGGTATGATTTCTCTGTAATCCCCTTGGGTATAATATCCCTGTCACCCCTAGGGTATGATTTCTCTGTCACACCCTAGGGTATGATTTCTCTGTCAATCCCTAGGGTATGATTTTTCTGTCACATCCTAGGGTATGATTTCTCTGTCACACCCTAGGGTATGATTTCTCTGTCACTCCTTAAGGTATGATTTCCTGTCACACCCTAGGGTATGATTTCTCTGTCACTCCCTAGGGTATGATTTCCTGTCACACCCTAGGATATGATGCCTCTGTCACATCCTAGAGTATGATTTCTCTGTCACTCCCTTGGGTATAATATCCCTGTCACCCCTAGGGTATGATTTCTCTGTCACACCCTAGGGTATGATTTCTCTGTCAATCCCTAGGGTATGATTTCTCTGTCACATCCTAGGGTATGATTTCTCTGTCACACCCTAGGGTATGATTTCTCTGTCACTCCCTAAGGTATGATTTCCTGTCACACCCTAGGATATGATTTCTCTGTCACTCCCTTGGGTATAATATCCCTGTCACCCCTAGGGTATGATATCTCTGTCACACCCTAGGGTATGATTTCTCTGTCAATCCCTAAGGTATGATTTCCTGTCACATCCTAAGGTATGATTTCCTATCACATTCTAGGGTATGATTTCTCTGTCACACCCTAGGGTATGATTTCCTGTCACTCCCTAGGATATGATTTTCAGTCACATTTTAGGGTATGATTTCTCTGTCACATCATAAGGTATGATTTCTCTGTCACTCCCTAGGGTATGATTTCCTGTCACCCCTAGGGTATGATTTCTCTGTCACTCCCTTGGGTATAATATCCCTGTCACCCCTAGGGTATGATTTCTCTGTCACACCCTAGGATATGATTTCTCTGTAACACCCTAGGGTATGATTTCTCTGTCAATCCCTAGGGTATGATTTCTCTGTCACATCCTAGGGTATGATTTCTCTGTCACACCCTAGGGTATGATTTATCTGTCACTCCTTAAGGTATGATTTCCTGTCACTCCCTAGGTTATGATTTTTCTGTCACATCATAGGGTATGATTTATCTGTCACTCCTTAGGGTAAGATTTCTCTGTCACATCGTAAGGTATGATTTCTCTGTCACTCCCTAGGGTATGATTTCACTGACGCATCCTTAGTTATAATATCCTGTCAATCCCTAGGGTATGATTTCCCGTCACATCCTAGGGTATGATTTCTCTGTCACATCCCAGGGTATAATTTCCTATCACATCTTAAGGTATGATTTCTCTGTCACACCCTAGGGTATGATTTCTCTGTCACTCCCTAGGGTATGATTTCTCTGTCCTAGGGTATGATTTCTCTGTCACTCCCTAGGGTATGATTTCTTTGTCACTCCCTAGGGTATAATTTCCCTCTCACCCCTAGTGTATGATTTCTATATCACACCCTAGGGTATGATTTCTTTGTCAACCCCTAAGGTATAACAGATGGCATGCAGAAAGAAAACACAATTATTTTAATGTCACATTCAGCTTTGATGGGAGAAGTCAATTGCAGTTCAGAATTAAAACACAAGACTACAAATTCTGATAACCAATGTTTTCATAAAATATTGATAGGATGGGAGAAGAAGGTCCATCCCCTATGTTGAGGGTATGCAGGAGAAATCTCGACCCTTCAGGTAAGATTATCAAATGGCTAACCCTCAGTTAAAGCAAGCCTCTGATACATCAACAAAGTATATCACTGCTTGGGTTAAGATATCTCTGTCATACCATCAAGGTAGGGGAAGATTCTATTTGTCAGGACATAACATGTCAATGATAAACTAATAGGATTTAAATATTTATTGACAAGAAATGTGTTTGTGAGACATGGTATCCCTGTAACGTATCAGACCCTTGCTGAAGTAGTTTAACTAGCCTTGGTACAGACCCAAATGCAAAAACATGACACGATCATAGAGGTCAAGGTGACAAACATTCCATTAACTATGTTTCACTTCCAATTAAGAAGTAAGTCCCAAATCATGAAGTTTATTGAGTCATAGAGGAACATCAGCATGTATACTTGAGTATTCCTAGCTCCTGCACTTCGTCATTTAATGACCTAGATGCAAGAATATAAGCAAGGTCACAGAGTTCAAGGTCGAACTTGTAATTTCTAAAAGAAGAGTCTTTTGGATTCTGATATACAAAGTATGGACAGACAGACATTCATTGCGACATCTCCGTTGCTGGGCTCTAGTTATATAGTGTGCTTCAGAAAAATGTAATATTGAATTTTATATGAATTTATGAGTTAAAATGAAAATGTTTACCTTACCTGTGTTTCTTTTTGATGTCAGTAAACACCTGTATGCCGTCAGCCCCTATGTGCCTCCTGTATCTGAGCAGATCTCCAGCACAGGCATTCATCATTCCCTCATCAGCAACATGGGAAAACACAAAGCCCTCCGCCCTGATAAAGTCTAATCCTGTAAAACACAAAGCCCTCGGCCCTGATAAGATCTAATCCTGTAAAACACAAAGCCCTCGGCCCTGATAAGGTCTAATCTTGTAAAACACAAAGCCCTGCTCCCTGATAAGGTCTAATCCTGTAAAACACAAAGCCCTCAGCCCTGATAAGGTCTAATCCTGTAAAACACAAAGCCCTGCACCCTGATAAAGTCTAATCCTGTAAAACATAAAGCCCTGCACCCTGATAAGGTCTAATCCTGTAAAACACAAAGCCCTCCACCCTGATTAAGTCTAATCCTGTAAAACACAAAGCCCTCCGCCCTAATAACGACTAATCCTGTAAAACATAAAGCCCTGCACCCTGTTAAGGTCTAATCCTGTAAAACACATAGTCCTCTGTCCTAATAAGGTCTAATACTGTAAAACACAAAGCCCTCTACCCGATAAAGTCTAATCTTGTAAAACACAAAGCCCTCCGCCCTAATAACGTCTAATCCTGTAAAACACAAAGCCCTCCACCCTGATTAAGTCTAATCCTGTAAAACACAAAGCCCTCCGCCCTAATAACGACTAATCCTGTAAAACATAAAGCCCTGCACCCTGTTAAGGTCTAATCCTGTAAAACACATAGTCCTCTGTCCTAATAAGGTCTAATACTGTAAAACACAAAGCCCTCTACCCGATAAAGTCTAATCTTGTAAAACACAAAGCCCTCCGCCCTAATAACGTCTAATCCTGTAAAACACAAAGCCCTCCACCCTGATTAAGTCTAATCCTGTAAAACACAAAGCCCTCCGCCCTAATAACGACTAATCCTGTAAAACACAAAGCCCTCCACCCTGATAAGGTATAATCCTGTAAAACACAAAGCCCTCCACCCGATAAAGTCCAATCCTGTAAAACACAAAGCCCTGCGCCCTGATAAAGTCTAATACTGTATAACACAAAGCCCTGCGCCCTGATAAAGTCTAATACTGTATAACACAAAGCCCTGCGCCCTGATAGAGTCTAATACTGTATAACACAAAGCCCTGCGCCCTGATAAAATCTAATCCTGTAAAACACAAATCCCTCCGCCCTGATAAAGTCTAATCCTGTAAAACACAAAGCCCTCCATCCTGATAACGTCTAATCCTGTAAAACACAAAGCCCTGCGCCCTGATAAGGTCTGATCCTGTAAAACACAAAGCCCTGCGCCTTGATAAAATTCTAATCCTGTAAAATACAAAACTTTCAGACCTGATAAAGTCTAATACTATAAAACACAAAGCCCACAGCCCTGATAAAGTCTAATTTTGTAAAATACAAAGTCCTCCGCCCTATATATAATAACGTTTAATCCTGTAAAACGCAAGTAATATTACAGAACTTACAAGTAACATAACCGACTTAACAAGTAACACTAAGAGATAACCCTTCCTAGGCATTTGACATCATTTTCTCTACATCATTCAAAATGATAGAATAAATATTGTGGATAAATTATCACTGTTTTTAACACATGATCATGAAACTATCTACATATTTACTATTCCATCGAATGTCTTTCCTGTTATATTACTACATACTTCAAATATTACTCCTAATAGTCTACTTGATAGAATCTAATATTTCGCTGATAAAAATGTCATTTCGTAGCACATATCACTCGGTTACACTAGCCCTCACCTGCTGCCCTGGCAACTCCCAGGGCTTGTGTATTTGCCCCAGCCAGGACCTGGACACCCACTGGTTTCACCCCCATCACTGACTTGACCGCTGCACAAATGACCGCCATACAGGCACTGACCTCATGGCCGACAGCTGTACTGTGTTGATAGGGCACGTCATTCATGTTCTCAATGATCACACCATCCTGTAAACAATGAGAAAATAATAAGTCTTAATATCTGTCCTACCTATGTCCACATTTCTCACCTACAACCCACACCAGTCAATTAGTCAGAAATACCTGTAACTTTAGGAATACCTGTCTCATCCACACCCTACACCTGTCAACTTGTCAGGAATACCTGAAACTTTAGGATCACCTGTTTCATCCACAACCCACACCCGTCAACTAGTGGAGAATACCTGAAACTTTAGGAACTGTCTCATCCACAACCCTAACCTGTCAACTAGTGGAGAATACCTGTAACTGTAGGAACACCTGTCTCATCTACAACCCACACCTGTCAACTAGTCAGAAATACCTGTAACTGTAGGAACTCCTGTTTCATCTACAACCCACACCTGTCAACTAGTGGAGAATACCTGAAACTTTAGGATCACCTGTCTCATCTACAACACACACCTCTCAACTAGTGGAGAATACCTGTAACTTTAGGAACTCCTGTCCCATCTACAATACACACCTGTCAACTAGTCAGAAATACCTGTAACTTTAGGAACACCTGTCTTATCCACAACCCTCAACTGTCAACTAGTGGAGAATACCTGTAACTTTAGGAACTCCTGTCCCATCTACAATACACACCTCTCAACTAGTGGAGAATACCTGTAACTGTAGGAACACCTGTCTCATCTACAACCCACACCTGTCAACTAGTGGAGAATACCTGTAACTGTAGGAACTCCTGTCTCATCTACAACCCACACCTGTCAACTAGTGGAGAATACTTGTAACTTTAGGAACACCTGTCTCATCTACAACCCACACCTGTCAACTAGGCGAGAATACATGTAACTTTAGGAACTCCTGTCTCATTTACAACCCTCACCTGTCAACTAGTGGAGAATACCTGTAACTTTAGGAACACCTGTCTCATCTACAACCCACACCTGTCAACTAGTGGAGAATACCTGTAACTGTAGGAACTCCTGTCTCATCTACAACCCTCACCTGTCAACTAGTGGAGAATACTTGTAACTTTAGGAACTCCTGTCTCATCTACAACCCACACCTGTCAACTAGTGGAGAATACCTGTAACTTAAGGAACACCTGTCTCATCTACAACCCACATCTGTCAACTAGTGGAGAATACCTGTAACTTAAGGAACACCTGTCTCATCTACAACCCACACCTGTCAACTAGTGGAGATTACCTGTAACTGTAGGAACTCCTGTCTCATCTACAACCCTCACCTGTCAACTAGTGGAAAATACCTGTAACTTAAGGAACACTTGTCTCATCCACAACTGAAATCTGTCAACTATTGAGATATACCAGTAACTTTAGATATACCTGTCTCCTTGACAACCCGAGCTTGTCAACTAATGAGGAAAACCCGTAACTTTAGGAATACCTTCTTAACCCATGACCCACACCTGTCACCTAGAGAAGAATAGAATGACTTTAAGAGAATTCATTGTTAACATAAACAAACACAAGACATTTTAATTCATCCTTAAAAAAAATTCTATGAATTCATCACACCAAAACTTGAATATTAGTTAGAAATGTAAAGGGTAGCAGTTTAGCCTAATAAAATCTTTCTGTTTTGACAAATAGAAGCAAAAATATAAACACATAAGAAAAATATCTTTTTAAACAAGTTTGCTGGACAAAACAAGAGAAACAAAGTAAAACATGGAAATAGAACAAGGAAAGTATACAAATATCTGGAATCCAACACAATATCAGTAAAATGTGGAGGTTTGTAACTGTTACACCTCGTTATAGCTTAACTTTCTATCAATATTATTACAGTTCTTCAAACCCCAGTAAATCCAAAACATCGAACTCACTATTCTTAAAATTAGTCCTATTCTTCTAATAATCAATCTCTATGACCTGTCCATCTTCAATACAGTACAAACTATCGATAGGTATAACATGCTGTACCCGGGATGGTAGAAGACTTATATAGGCTATGCCTGTTGTCTTGTCCCTTTTTTTATCAATAAAATATCTTCAATTAATCAGTTAGAAAAGAAATCAATTATGTGGCAACAATTAGGTTTTAAACTTTATAATTATAAATAGATCCATAAAGATACAGAAACAACAAGTGACACTAGCATTGTTAGGCTGAACTACTATTGTTATAGAAATTATTTAGCAAATAATACTTCCGTATAAATGCAATTCATTTAAAAGACCTTATCGCTGTAAACAAAAGAATCTCACAACAGGCTATACCTTTAAAAGTCATTTTCCTTTCCTGTTACACCAATGAAATAAGAATAAAACATATAATCAGTAATACTTAAACCACTGAAATTTGTAAAATATCATGACAGGTAAGGTGAACAAATATCAATTCTGTTGATACTAGGAGTAAAGGTGTTTGACAAGATTATGTTCAGGTTTGGTAGAATACAAATAAAACATAAATTAACCAGTAGTACTATAACTGGACAGATATGAAATAAATGTGTAGAAAAAATATGATATGCAGAGAAATAAAATCAGAGACCTAAGTCACAATATTATATGATAATGGTTTTTTGTTGTGACACAAGTTTAGATAAGTGACCTAGTTCAAATTTCATTCAATAAATAACATGTATTGTAATACAGGTATGTATATATACAGGTATATGTACAGGATCATAAATATTTTTGAAGAAATATAATTTATTATTGTATTCATGTCTGACAATAATGTTTTATTTATATGATTTTTCAAAATAAAGTTAGTTTTTGTATACATGCATATAATTATACATGTATACAACAACCTTATTTCCTTTTCTTCTGTTTAGGTAATTTGTTACAATCGTTAACTTTCACACTGGAAAGTAATTAAAACAATTATATATTTACAGAAGAGCTAAGTGGGAGGTTGTATTAAATAGAAGAAGTGTGAGTTAGACGAGAAAACAATGGTTAGTAAGGCTGTGGTGTTAGGGAGGTGTCGGTGGCAGGTTCCCTCTGTCACACCCACCCAAGCCCAGCCACTCAGCCTGACAAGACAGTCATCTAAACTGTAATCTAAAGTGATCAACTGTCATTCTGTGATGGGAAGAGGGGTGTGTCCCTGAGCTGACCACTAGACACTGGTCAAGGATGTACCTGATCAGCTTAGGTGTCAATCTGGCATGCTTGATCACCTCTCGGAGAGGAAATTAACACCTTAGAGACATGTGTGATGTACCTGTGTGATGTACCTGTATATATAAACATACCATATCACTGTTCTACCTATCACATCACCAGTGAACTCTCAATGATAAACACTGCTGCCTTGTAATACTACAGCTGACTAATACTAGTGTTATTGGTGAACCTAATGATAAATTAGAGACAAACTATAGCCAACAAAATGTTGTATCCCAGTGATTCTGCATACTACAATTCCTACAGTTACTATGACTACAGTGGGGTCGGAGGTTACTGGGGAGAGGTCAGCCAGACAGTGGAGATTATCACCTCAACCAATGATAGTGTGTCACCAGTATCCTCCCACAAGGATGGTGGTACACCAAAACAGGGTAACAACGAGATAGTCAGAACTAGTCCATCCCTGGCCAGTGGTCAGTCTGGCTCCCGAGTGTTTGACCCCCTACCCTGTGGTCAGCATCAGTACCAGTTCATTCAAGAAAGTGTGGAAAGCTTACATCCCGATAGCCATGTGACAGACAACCCTCCTAACAGCCCTCGCACCTACCGATGTCTCTCACTCGAAAACAACAAAAACACAGAGAAAATGTAAGTCACCCTTAACAATTCAATGTTATTTCATTTTTCTATGACCAAACACTTTTACCAAAACTAAAATAATGTTTAAATTAGCGAGATAAAAAAATACTGACACTAACTGCCAATATCATTTTTTTTGTGAAATTTCCAAAACTCTTATGTAAATGCATTATTGTTAAAACCAATGTGACCCTAAACTTCACACACTGGAGCAAACATTTAAACTTGAATTATCTCCCCTTAACCATTAATCCTGATAATGTGTACCATCATGCCCAACTTTAACCTGTGATAAATGTATGTTGTCCTTCACATCTAAACACAAATTTTGTGGTAAGTTAATTTTTAAAGACATTAATTCATGATACACTACGTCACTAGTTATCAGTAACCATATACGGTGACAATATACCATTATAATACATTGTTACAACAAAACATTGAAATATAGTCACAAAACACTATTACAATACATTGTCACTATACACAATCATACTACAAAGTCAGAATACACTGTCAGTAAACACTTTGTTAATACATTGTAACAATACAATACCACACTTCAATGTCACAACACACCGTCACTAAACACCTTCACTATACCCAACATCACAATACATTGTAACAAAACCATTATAATGCACTGTCATAATACAATGTAATAATACACTACCAAAATACACTGTCACTAAACACCTTCACTATACACCATTACAATACACTGTCTATTATCTATACCTAATAAGTTGATCCATATACAACTTGGTTATCTAAGAAAAAGACTGATGTAGGTTTAACTTGTTGTCTCAATCTTTTGATAATACATGTGTTGTTTTATTTTTCTGTTTATCTGTAGTATTCTATTTCTAATGTAATGTCAACAAAATATTTTGAATTGAAATGTGAGAAGGAAGGACCGTATCCCAAAGGCTGTTAGTATCAATGGGTTGACATCATCAATTGTTTACTGACTTGAAAAGAAAATACAATAGAGGACGGTCAGAAATCATATTTCTAAATATAAGTCCTATGGCAGTGCTGTGGTTGGGCCTCTGCCTCCAGCCATTAACTGCACTAGATTAACAGATAAAAAATTTAAGAATAAATTCTGTCTGTTTGTCATATTTTGATTGTGCTTTCAACATCCTAGTCAGCTGATTAACACCTAGGGTGTGGACAGGTACACAAAAAGGTTATTACACCTGTAATTAATGTCACAGGTGTGTGAGGTCAGAACGGCCTAATGCTGCAGATAATAGATCTAGATAATCCAGAACAATGATATCATGTCCCTTATAAACTTTAATAATGACAGGAATAGAAAGAAATGAATAGAAAGAAATAGGAAGTGATGGAAAAGTTTGATTGACATTCCATACAATTTACACCCTTCACATCAGAACCACCAGAAGAGTATCCCTTATAGATAGAGAATTTAATACTGTTACATTCAGAGACAAAATTAATAATAACTAGTCAGGTAAAATGAATTATATAGAAGTTTTACAATTTTATAAATAAACATTTGTTTATGTAGTCAACATACCACCAGGACGCATTACTCTAACAATGTTGTACTAGTAGATATGTATTTTAAATACTAGTCCAGAAAATAAGTTTGGATTTTTCTATATGTTTTGTAACTGGCTCAAATTAGATATAAGGGTACTGCAATTGTTATATTCAATTGAAGACAGTTTTCTGAAATCTGTTGATTTTAAATTGTAATAGACTATCTGCCACCATAACAAAATCTGAGGTACCAAGCTATAAAAGCAAAGTAAACTCAGTCCAGGTGAAACAATGGGGAAAAAAATATATATATACCCTCAAAGGAAGCCATACATTACATCAAATTAAACCATGGTACTTTATTATATCAAATTCAACTGGTATACACCGTCTCGAATTAAACCACCAGACAGAACTACAACAATCTGAGCAGCTATACAGTAATATAACTTTACAATTATGAATCATCAAAAACACCAAATTGTTAGCAGATGACTGAAATTAAAACTAAATTTGCATTGAACAGCTTACTAGCTCCAAGTCTTTATACATGTCAGCTTCATAGCAGGCTGCTCTCTGTATCTCTCCGATACTAAGGCTATTTCTGGGACAGCCTATAAGAAGAAAAAAAGTAAAACATTACCTATATTTTACAAGTGTTACCTCCCTTCAACTATATGCCGTTACTTTCTACTTGAATTTCTTATTCATTACAACAACCTTTTATAGCTTAAAACCAACTTCACTAAGAATGAAAAGACTCTTGTTTGAAATAAGCAGTGTCTTTTGTTCATATCTAATTTTTTTCTAATAACCACCTTTAGATTTGTTTATATTTTAATTTGCATCCAGATGATCGATGCTGCCCTGTAGGGATGACTGTACACTAGACAGAACCCTATATGCAGTTATTACGAGAGACAACACTCTTTATAGATCACACACACACACAAAGCGCAAATACACCTCACCTGTCCAAACATGCTACCTATTAACAGCACATCATATTCAAGGTTTATTGATTGTTTACCTCTCCTAAAACAGTGACCAATCAAATTGCAATTCGACAGGTGCAATAGACATAATGTATCATACCTGGCTTATTACTTATGTAGATAATCAAATTTATGCATGTTTGTCATACAAATATGCAAATAGCTATAGGTTTCATTTGCATGTTATATTTAGAAATAAACAATTGAGTTCGCAAAGCATCATTAACCAATCAGAACTTGCAAAGTTGCATACCACAAGCGTGTGCATAGTTAACAGGGGTATGTTTTACAATCTATGACAATCTCAAGGACTATATTATCTAAAGTGAGCACATTTTGATTTGAAATTCATCTTTTAACAGGTATTGAGGTAAGTTCATTAGAATCCTGTTTAATTTGTGTAAAATCTTATAATTCTGTAAATCTTTATATGTAGTAACACCGGTCCTAACTCAGACAGCACATGTTTCCCCTTTTTTCTGATTACCGAAAATGTTTTGCCTGATATTTTGATTGCAATCATTACTCTCTCTCTCTCTCTTATATATATTATATGTCCCAAAGTTTAGAAAATTGGCCCTGGAATATATGCATTTCAAATATACATGTGTATGTAGAAGACTTGTAACATATATTTCCCTGTATTTATAAATAGATCAAGGGCCAGTTACCGATGTATTGATTTGTGTGAATAGTAACGAGGATTATCAAGTCGTATCACGTAGAATTCAGTGGCTGAGGATGAAAGATCCACAAGGGGGCGTGTCCCCTAATGTCTACTTTCACATTGCTTTGCTTTTACACGAGCACTATATGCGAGTCCCGAAAAACTTTTATTCGTTATTATGTAATTTAAATCGATATAAAACCTATTTATTGAATATCAAATTATCTACTAAACGTGACCTGGCAAAGCTTTCAGGTGTATCATTCCCAAAACAACATTGTATTGTCGTCTGAATAGTAGGGTGAAATTCTCCATTTTAGCGCCCGGAAGCAACAAACTTGTTCCTGTGAAAGAGGCGGTCCCAAAAATTAACCAATCAAAATAGAGCATATAAAATAGCAAGGGCAATAGGGCATCTGCTTTGCGCATGCCCCGTGTATTGCATTTGCAGTGTTTACAACAATAAAATGCTATTTTTCTTTTTAATTATTATACCGAAAACAGTAATCTATATGCTTATCCAGAAGATTATTCTGTGCCCTTTAATATGGTATGCGGCGATACGTGAAGTCTTCCATGGTTTTATTGTTTCATTCAATTTTCAACTGGAACCCCTCTCTGAGTTTCTTTTTTCGATTTCCACGTGTGTGCTGCAAATTGTAAACAAATAATAAAAAAATATTTTCTGCCATTTTTTCCCAATTATATGCATTTGAGTTAAGGTAGCTCATAAAATTATTTGTTTTCAATGTATTTTTTTATTAGATTACCATTTAAAAGTCGTTTTTCGCGCCTTGTGTATTTTCCCAATCTCTCATCGGAAGTAAAAATTGATGTCATCTTTTTTTAATTTTTGAACCAAATTATCTCTATCTCTCTATCTTACAATATATCAAAAACTTGTTTAGCAAGTTATATGAAAACTTGTTCTTAATGATTTTGCGAAAAATTATAAACAATCATTGTTCGCTGCCCTTTGGCGGGTTTGCGCGCGGGTAGGGGGCATCTCGGGATTCCACCTTCACAGTCCAGCTGCGAGAGTTCCTCAGTTGATCAGTCGATCTTGAGCAGTGAACATCGTTGTCAGACAAAATGAAGTTTAGATGAAGAACTTAACGCCAGCAATATCATCGTTTAGCTGTAAGAAAGTTTATATATGTGTAACCGTTTGATTACTGGATTTACATCGGAAATTGCATTTACATAGGTATTTTGACTGCTCACATTCTGATGGATCGGAGACGCCGATGACACGAGTTAGCTTACACAAACTGGCGCGAGGAATTTTATGCAATACTTCTGAAAATGAATGTAAATCAAACCGATTGTGAAATTATGGATTTCTTAAACATCTGTGAACTAGAATAGTCATGCAGGTAAATATTTGGGAGTTCAAACTTTTTGAGCTGAATAGCTTCCTCTTGGTTGGATTACATCGACGTTGTCAATATTTCACCGCCAAAATTAGCGGATATCATTTTCAATGATAACACTTTGTTTTAATCAAAATAAAATGTAATCGTTTTTCTTTCACAGCTTGGTTGATCCTGGGTCCCCGACGTCGACAATGTCTAGAAAAAGGTACGTAAACCGACCCACTCGATCGTTTTACTGTCAGTCCGCGCCATTTTGACATGTCTGCTTTTCGATTGAAGTGCGTGTATAAAAATCTCACGCTTTTTCATTCATTTCAGTGCACGATTGTTATCGAGAACCAAGAGCGATGAAGACACTGTACCATGCGCTAAAGTGAACAGAAAAAGGAAGGCCGAGGAGGTAAATTTCATTTACACAACATCGTTACCCCGTGGCATACGTTGCAATTATATGGCTGTTCTTTCTTTGTTCATTCATTCGACGACCCAGTTTGTTTCGCGTTTTCACACGGTGTTTCTCTTTGTCTTTATTTAGGATTTAGACGAAGATACAACGATGATCAAGAGAACGAAGACCTATAGAATTGAAGTGAGTATTTATTTTGATACATTGTCAGATTAATTTATAAACTTCCAGTAACGTGAAATGGCGCCATTGACCCTGATTAGCTGGAACTTTCAGATCGCGTTGGATTTACAGTGAGTGCATTCAGGATTGTCGCTTTGCTTTAGTGATAAACATAAAAGTATAGAAAATAAACAGTATGCAGTCGATTGTGCTAAGTAAATGCCTGGAAGGTATTTTTTATAATATTTTTTTCATACTCCGGTGTTTGACCTCTTATTACTACCTCCATATTTTCCTGTGAAATGACTCATGAATATTCATAAGATCAAATTCTGTTTTCCAACCTTAATATAATATCTATTAACAGGAAAAGTCATAAGTACAAGGATTTTGGTCAGTTGCTACACCTTTAGTAATATAACAAATACATTTATAGTTTCTCTACCAAGTCATGTGTTCTTGTTATATTATGTCATATCATATTTCAGCGGTTTTATGCTTTGATTGGATTTTTTTAAATACATAAAGTATTTTAGTGATATGTTTTTGGAAAAATTACTGCTTCTAGGAATAATTTAAAAAATAAACAATTTGAATAGCGTACATTTATATTATAGCTGTATAAACAGTGTCCAAGCTAACACTAGAAAAATTAATTCCATGGTTGACCCAAGCTGATAACCAGGAATGATCTGAGTGACCAAGCCAAAGTCCAGGTGGTCAATTTCTGATAAGAAAATAGAGTCCAAGCTGACTTTGAGTTGTAACAATGAGAAACCCCTGCCAAAATGCCATACTTATGATCACAATAGTCTTGATGTCATTTGTTTGTTTGTTTTATTTGGGAAAAGGGTTCTATTCATTGAAGAAGGCAAAACTTTAGATATCCCATGGATTAAGCATGTTTTTAAAACATTATCTATTTCATTAAATTAACTTTGCCAAATTAAAATTATATCTATATTTAATTAATTGTTTCAAGATTATATACTGCAAAATTGAATACTATCATGATATATTAAAAAAGTATTCCATTTTAAAGATCAAATATGTCACTAAATTAACTAAATTATTAGTACTCCACTTAAACTGGTTGTATGGATGAACAAATTTGGAAAGACTTTGATATATACCCCAAATGTACAGCCATCTTTCATGTAACTTATAGCTTATCAGCAGAAAACTACTATCTTTATTGCATCTAAAAGGTTAGGATGATATAATTAAATATTATCAAACTATTATATATGCTTTTCTACATGTATAAATAATTAAATGATATATTATCTGTATTATCTTAATCCAACACAGTTTTGATAGTTGCTAGTGAATTTAGAGTAAGTTGGCAATTGTATGAATGAATAGCTTAATAATTACATATATATATATAATGTCATTAACACAATCATGGAGAAGATTGATATAGGCCTAGCCAGTTATCTTATCCATTTATATATATGTATAATAATGTTTGTTAAAATAAACTACAATCTTACAAGCACACAGTATTTCAATCATTTTATATAAGTTTTAAGTTTTATCCTTAATTATCCAGTTCAGCTGTGTTATATATAGAATGTTTACCATAATATAGCATATTGTCGATATAAAAAAAATCGAACTCAACTCTCGATTTTAAAAACTGTATATTTTGACTGGAGCTAGATGTTGGTTCAAAAATACATTTATAAAAACTGATTTGTATTTTGAAGACATTCTGTTTCAAAAAAGACAAAAAAAACCATTGATATGTTTGGCTAAGGACTTGTTATCTCATCCTTCTTCTTAAATTCCCAATTTACTTTGTAGAAGATCCTTGCAATTCATTTTACATTCACACTAGAGTCGTAAATGCTGCAGCTTTGAGAAATATCATTTATTTTTCTCAAAGCACCCCCAATATACAGGTTTTGTTATTTTTGTATTTTGCTGTTTTTACAGACACAATGGATTCCTATTTCGGAGAACTCTTCTATTTCAACGTGCACACTGGTACCTAGTCATCACCCACCAACACCCGAAAGCGAGGAAAAGAAACCATCAGAGCTCATTTTAGGATCCAAATTTCGGTTCAGAAACTACTTTTTATCCACAAACAGATCTTCTCCACTTCCTAAGTTAAGTTGGGCAGATTCACGAGAGGTATGGCAGTTCATGTTGAAGAAAGAATCCCACTACATCAGAGACTCAGACTTGTTCAAGAACCATCCTTGTCTACAGTCAAGAATGAGGACAATCCTACTGGACTGGTTAATTGAGGTAAAATTAGTTACGATAATATAGTCGCGGTTTTAACTACTTTTAATTTAAATATATGTCAAACTTAAATTCAGGATTGTTCATATGATTACCCTACAAATATTTTTTTACTATTCATATATGAAATAAAAATAATAGTATTGCTATAAATAGCCGTGTGAGAAATGAAAAAAGTATTGCATTTGCTGGCTTGGCATCTCGAATAAGCTGTGTTCTTTCTCATACGTTTGAACGATATCCTTCAAAATGAAGGCAATTAATTTGTATTTCTGTATAAATTCTAGAGAAAACTTAATGGAATTTTAAAAAAGTCTACCCTGTAACTTTTCGATAGAGAGATGCAATAAAGTGTTAACCACTATTGTAAGTAGACTGTAGCACTGACTGGCCAAGTTTACACCTGTATATTCTGTCCCAACAGGTGTGTGAAGTTTACCGGCTACACAGGGAGACTTTCTATCTCGGTGTGGACTTTGTGGACCGTTACATGAGTTTGAGCAAGGGGCTACAGAAACACCAGCTTCAGCTCATCGGTATCACATCACTATTTATTGCGGCTAAGTTAGAGGTATGTACAACTAAATAGTCTCTCCTCTCATCACTGAAGATTTGTGATCTGTAATATTTTTAATAATTGCTAAACAAATATTAATGGTACCTAGGAGTATTGGCTTCTTGTCATTTAACACTCTTACAAATATTTCAAACATATAAAAAATGAAAAATAAATTTAAATTCAAATGTCTTGTTCATATCACTGCTAGTAAGTAAATATCCCACAAAAACACCGAACAAACTAACAAAATTCTTTTTATATTAGGAAATCTATCCACCAAAGATAGCAGAGTTTGCCTATGTGACGGATGGGGCCTGTACAGAGGATGAAATTCTGGACCAAGAACTGATCATGTTGAAGGTAACACTGACACTTTCAAACCACATCACCTCAAATAAATCTGTATTACATTCAACCTCGAGTGAAATTAAAATTGAAAATTTCTTCAGAGATTAAACCCAGTTTATATTCAATTGTAAGTGCTGAGAGTAAACCCAGTTGATATTAATTGTAAGTGCTGAGAGTAAACCCAGTTGATATGAAAGATTTAGTTTCTTTGTGTTTTGTTTGCAGGCATTGAACTGGGACTTGTCACCACTTACTACAAACGGCTGGTTGAATCTCTACCTACAAGTTGCCAATATAGAGCACATCGTGGAAACAGAACATGGATTTGTCTTCCCCCAGTATTCCTCGCACGCATTCATTCAAGTTGCTCGGGTAAGAAATAGCTCAACATCCTTTTTCATACAGCTCAGTTAAAGGGACATCAGGTGAAGAGCCATATTTTTTTTAATGAAATTATGTGTTGTATGTACTTCCACTTATGTTGACCCCATATTCATAGTCCGTTCCAAATGTCTTTGTTGCCGACGCAATACACTATTTTCTTAGCTTACTTCACACAGGCAGTCATTTTGTTTTCAAAGAAATTGTTTGCTATGCGCATGCGCTAGTATGGGGAAATCCCTGAACAAAACGTTGGTCAGACAGGTAGAAATTCTTGATTATCTTAAAATTTCCCAAAATGAGTTACTTAATATGTTTATGTAGTATTTGGAAGAAAAAAGACAAAAAATATACACTTCACCATGTCCCTTTAAGCAATGACGAGAAAGATTTCAAACAAATAGTACGATAAAATTTCCCAGACATTATAAGTAACAGAAGGCTGCATGCTGTGTTTTCATCAGTAGCTATATCTGGACTAAAGTATGAGCTATTAAGTGTTTGCCATTGTATAACTGTGTTTGTTTACACCTTCTCATGTTTGTTTTTTATACCTACCGATGTTTTTGTTTACACCTGCTGTTGTTTGTTTCCAGCTGGTAGATCTGTGTATCCTAGACATTGGATGTTTACAGTTCCCCTACAGTGTTGTTGCTGCCTCTGCACTCTACCACCTCACAACCAAAGAAATTGCCCTGTCTGTCTCGGGTAAGACATTGTTACTATATGTAATTTTAAACTCTGTATTCAGTTTAAACCATAAAAGATAACCGATGTGTTTTGATGACATAAGTGTTCAGTGTGTATAACTCGAGATTATCAGTTTATCCACCAATATTTTAAATGTATTTTGTTTATTGTTGCAGGCTTTAAATGGGCTGATATCCAACAGTGTGTCAGTTGGATGTCTCCTTTTGCTATAACTATGCGAGAGTCTGGTCCTGCTGAAGTTAAGTTCTTCCCTAATGTGGCACCAGAGGACAGTCATCACATCCAGACACACGCTATTGACCTCAATCTTCTGGTATGTATCAATAGCAACTTGTTTTATAACCAATATGTAACTGGCATCAAAATAGGTCCCGACTGGATTAAGTAAATGGTTAAACAGTTAGTCAGTTACTGATGTTTAGTTATCGAAGTGAAATATCTATTATAAAATTGGTACTTAATATTATTATTAATGATAAACATAAGATAGTAAACAACAACTAGATGACCAGTTGAACTAAATAAGCAATATATTCCCTTAACTAAAAAACAATATTTTCAAGTATGTGTGTGTCCTGCTTTTATCTATCTTCAAAAAAAATTGTGTTTAAAACTATTTCATTGATATAATATTCTTTTCCAGGAAATAGCTCAGGAAAGGCAGGAGCAAGTGCTAAGCTCACTGCGAGCAGGAAGTCCAGACCTGCAGGCTCAAGTGATCACACAACTTACACCTCCTCATAGTAACAAAAAGTCTGCCACCACCACTGACCCTTTGTCCTCGCCACATCAAGAGGAATTATTGGAAAGTGCAAATGATGCTGCTCAGTAGTGTGTTTACGACTTGTGCTATTTTGGACCTTAACAAAGGGTATATGGAGACTCAGAGGGTACTAGGACAGACTTGCGCTCCGTGACCTCCATGAGAAGGACTCTACATGAGATAGTGCAAAATATTAGGAAAGTGAAAGCAAACTGTCCAAATACTTTCTGTTTGTCTATAAACATGCATAAGAAAAACAAATTCAGATCAAGGTGACACTGAATAAATATGAAATATTGATTCTATTCGTGTGCAATAAACAATATGACTTGTTAAGTGATGGAGAGACAATTTTTACTCCTGCGAGGCATAGGGTGTTGAACACGAGACCTGACTGACAGAATTTGTATGACTGAACTGATACATGTAACTTATGGATGCGTCAGAAGTTGTTTTAATTTGGGTGACTGATGTGGATGAATGTAGACTTGTGTGAAATGTGCAACTGCATTGTATACATTTTAAGAAAAATAATTTGAACAATATCCCCAAGGGATCCTATTTACAAGTCACCAATGTGTTCAAAAGAGTTCTTGTGAAGAACTGTTTTTTATTATAAATGGCCAATAGAACAGGATATTATAGTGCTTGTTACTTGTACAAAGATTTTTGAGATTTGTTAAATTTGATGATTTGATACTCTCCTGTCTAACCTCTGCCATCCCACAATGGCTCTCTGTATTATTGGATGAGAGTGTATATATTACCCAGCAATACTTCCCACTGCCCACCAATGTGTTCTGTTATATACCTGGTTGAGTTTGATCTCCGTTAAAACGTGTGTCAGGAGACTGCACATAATGTTATATCTGAGGCGTGTAATCGTTTCCAGAGCAAAGTTTACTTTATATTGAAATCAACCGATGTGTTCATTAACTTAATGCATATATTTAGTTCTTACTTACAACTATGTTCTGTCTGACTTATACATTTCTCATGAAATGAGAACAAGATTATTGCTTTACTTATAGAAATGACATCTGTTATTTTGAAATAGAATTTTTAGGTAAATGTGCAATACAGAAAAAAAACTATTAAGATGAGTTAGACAGAAGTATCAAATCACAGTACATATGTATAGAAATGAAAATGACTTAATCCATAATGAAATTGTTAATATTGTTTTCAATTAATGCTTAGGTTAAGTAATAAAACATATCTATATTTTTATACGAACGTCTATAGGAATGATTGTTTTCTTGCTGAAGTGATTACAAACCTTCAATGTGTGTGAGATTGTGTATTAAAACCGGCCATTGTATTAGCACTAGTCAGAGTAAAAGCTGTAGAGTGGAGAATTTGGGCCGTTTTATACTACAGGAGGATAACAATCCGTGTGAAATAAATAATGTGGTATTATCGATTAACAACTTCATTTCAGTTTGATAATTGCTCTTAAATGTCGGGGACGGTGTCATGATATTGAAGAAAAGAATTTCAATTTCATGATTTTCTTTTTTGTCTGGAATCATTTTGTTTCATCTGTTCACGACTTAAATAATAATTTAAATGAATTGTGGAGAAATCAACGGGTGTAATTATCCCACTTAAACAAATAAATGTGTGTTTATGTGTATGTGTGGTAGAACTGAATAGAAGGGAGTGTGTATTATTCCTGACTAGGGGCGCTCATCGTAAAGATACTCCACATCATTAAACCTATTGTATAGATATTTAAAGAGAAATGATTTATCTTGTATAATTAAATTAAGTAATTTATGCTATTTATACTCTCAAACTTATTTCTTTAAATTTCATTTGTAGCTTTGATTATTACTTTATAGTAATCTGAATTAAAATATTAATATATAATTTATTTAATTTGAATCTTTGTGCAAATATTGACCTGTACTCTCTCGATAACCCTGACAGGGAAAATGTGTATGTAGGGGATTGGGGGAGGTTAGTTAGGACAGAGGCAAGGGTTTCTTGTTGCTTCAGTTTTTAACAGGATTTCAAGAAAGAAACCCCCACCCCTAATACTGGTAACTTTCATTCTCCCCATGCTCTTGACTAAAGTTTTACAAATAAGTTGGTTATAATTAAGTTCATAATGTTTTGTACTATCTTGGGATGTAAAATTGACGGCATTTAATGTACATTTAGAGAAATAGTGTTGAGTTTGATAACTTGTGACCAATCCTTTGCCCTAACATGTGGCTATAAAAATTCCTGTTATGCCAAAGTTGATACTGGGAAGTAAGATGTCTGCATTAAAATGGGAGCCAGTTTATTGGCAACTAGTTTCTGTGTTTACATTGTAAATGTGACCACACTAGTGAGTGGTACACATATGGTAATGTAAGGTAACATCAATTGTTGGCAAGGTCTACTACTGGACTATCTAGCTTCAGGCAGTACTGGAAATGGACCAGGTTGTTTGAGTAGGACAGAAAGTCTATTGTTGAGTCATAATACTATTTATCCACGTTACCTGGGACTAAATCTTGTTCCTCCCTTAAAATGTCAATGTGTGCCGATGTTGAGTTCAACAGAACAGAGGCAGTAATATAATGATAAAAAAAAACAATAAAAAACATTCCTGTATCAATTTCAAATGTATGTAAAATAAGTTTTGTTGATTGTAGACTTTAAATTGTAATCAAAATCATTTAAGGATTATTCCCTCAAATACCTAATCATGACCCATGTCAAAATTTAAAAGTTATGCTTATTTGTCCTCTGCAGTTTGCCTTTGTTTTCATCCATGTATCAGGACTATTTGTTATATAGATATTGGGGACCAATGACAGATGATGTTTCATTCTAAATAAGGGACCAATGGAAGTTTTCTCACTATAAAGTATCAATGTTTTTTAAACACAAGTGAATATTTTAGGGTATGTTGTATCTCAAACAAAAAAATAAAACATGTTTTAAATTAAATTATCCTTGTTTGTTATCAGTGTTGTACATTGTAATTATGCTGAGGACAGTGTACCAAAGAATTCTGGTTTGGTTACTGCAAAGACAGGTGTATAAAGACACACCTCTGGTTACTGTTTGTGAAAACTAGAAGTGGAAAAATGGAAAAATATGAAGTGACATTTTACAGAAGCTGGATCAAGTTTGATACTTTGGACTCTGACAGGGCCGTTTTCGTTTCAACGGTTGAACCGGTTGTACCACAGTTGTTCGTTTATTAATTAAGTTCGGACCTAGTAACCTGATGATGCTTTCAGGCGAGCCTTGACAAAACCTTGCAAGACCTGCATAAACATTTGCAGACCTGCATAAACATTTGCAGGTCCGCCAGGTTTTATACTCGAAAATGTTACATTTAAAGACGGTCAAACCGGTTGTTTCGAATAAACGAACTGGCCCTAGATGATTTTCTAATATCGTTTTTTTCTCTCTCCAAAATTCAGCCTGTGTTATATCCTCTAAAGATTCCATCACGTGTGCTGGTATCTAGATTGTACCATGGCTTGTCCGGATTATTGCCGTCGGGTATCTATCAGATAATCGCCGCATTATGTGCGAGTTTGTAGACGTAACCGATTTCTTTGTTAGGACCGCCCTAAAACATTTACGGAGATACCCGAAATCGCACTAAACGGCGTCCGTTCATTTCGGCCCTTTGATAGGACGGAGAATGATAGCCTGACCATCTACAAAGCGTCACGTGTGTGTGCGCCCGGGGGGTGGCACTTGTCTCCTGTCCACAAACACCACATGTCAGCGACTCACTAAAGGGGTGGGCCCCGGGCTTGTTCTATAGGTTAATATAGCTACTCCGATACTGATGCCAAATTTTGAAATGTTTTGATAATTTTACGAATTCTTTGTGTAGAAATCAAGTAATAGTTTAAATACTTAATTTGACGTTCATTTATTATTAATATTAAATTGTCTCGTGTTTAGTTTCCCGCGCTTTTTCTTCTCATTTATGAAGTAACGCGTGCCTAGAACCACGTGACGCGTCCTTACATTTACACCACTTGAGCGAAGCGAATCCCATTATTAGCGGAACGTAATCGGCTTCTAATTATGGTTACGTCATAGGTTCCGAAATCAATCGATATGACATTGCTTTTCTCGCCATGAGGCCGGGGTAATGCGCCAACTCAATTAACTCACAAAAATGTCGCGTGTTGGGGGTAAAATGGTAAAAACTACAAGTGGAGGATAGGCGCTAAGTGGAACTTACCGATGAATGGTATGTGGACATACCGATACAGACGTGATGGTACAGTAATATATAGACAATGGACACATTACATTATAAAATTGTACGTTTTTATAACAGTTTGTGGACAAGTTTGTAAAGAACGAGTAATAAATTACAAGAAAAACGACAAATCATTGTATAACGAGGAAACAATAGCCATTGTAAGCATTTACGCTGTTACTCCATTAACGAAAACAATGGCTAAAATATCACCAATGAGAATTTAAACTTTCTCAAGACCTTAGAGGAAAAAATAGAACATAGTGATATAGTATTATTTTTACATTCGACACATGTGGTATCTTTTGATGATAAATAAATGATACGCTTATTTTGAACACAAACAATTGAAAACTTAATTAACCAAAATTACTGTTGGTGTTCCAAACAAACTTAGCGTTTATTTTATTTATTAATATATTTAAAACACTGCCAAATAATGCACTAGTTCGTTCAAAATCTGATAAATTCTGTATTTTGTGCACAATGAATATAACATCAGCACTACGATGAAACGGCACCATAATTCACCTGTAAACAGTTGTGTTGCGGTAGAATATAATCAACGCGTAATTCCATAAACAATTTATCGACATAAGACTTCGTGTTCTCTTTCTCGGAATCATCAAACCTCTAATCTAGTTCTCAAAATCGGTTTTAACCGATGAATATAATTGTGATGTTAAGACCCCGAACCCATCAGAGGATAAAGTGTAGAATATATTTCCTCATCCATTTTATTAAGTTTGATATCTTTATGAACATTGTTTAATGAATGTAAGTTTATGATCGTCCTTCGGCCTCATCAGTGATATATATTGATATTAGTATTATAAATATGTAAGTCTCAGGCCACATTAAGAGAAACCCAACATTTTAAAACATTCAAATTATTATTTTTTAAATTTTGTACGTCGCTGTACACGAGACAACTTATTGGAATGACGACTGTTATCATAAATCAACTGTTCGGTTTGTTTGTGGTCTACGTCCTATTAACAGATATGGTCATTTAAGGACGTGTCAGGTTTTCAACTGTATCATAGACCAATGTCTGCATGTTGATTTGAAAGGCATCAATAACATTAGATAACCGGAGATATCAACCAGGCTAAGTACGTGAAGACGTCCAGTCGAGTACGTAGATATCATTGTCCGTTATCTGATTACCTGTCCGGATTAACCGTAACTCTGACATGATATTGTGGCCAAATTAATGGATGGACATCAAACCAGCTAGTCCACTGATTTACTAGGCGATAGTAGGACACCCGGGGTGGATAGCGATAGCTCTGCTGGCGTACGTAATCCAGTCTTAGACGAACCGAAAGGCCCCGGGTCATAATGTCACTGCCGAAAATATTAAATAATGAATCATAAAATAAATATATTTCGTGTCTACTGTCTGAGTTATGAAGATGAGCTTTTGTTCAAACAAATACAGAAAAATATCCGCAGACATTGTGTACTCAGTACGCTCATGTAGATGATATCTTAAATTAGCCGATTGTAGTTAGAATGACGACACTGGCACGACAGGGTGCGCTGTCCCGAGGGTGGCCTTTCCCCGAGGGTGGAGAGGATCACCTAGTAAAGCGTGGACAAATGCACCGTCAAATAAGTTATGTTCCCGTCACATCGTCGACAATCGGGTACCTAACAAATTGGAAAATGATCTTCGTTATAAATGTATACACAATGCCATTGACATAGATTCTGTATTTGTAGCTCCAAAAGTCTCATACCAATTGTCAGTTTTATGGAACTTTTTAGATGAAGGCAATTAATGAACTACAAAATTGCCATAGGAAAACAATGCTTGCATTGTTTAAGTGAAAGGGATGACTAATGTTAACAAACTCACTCATTTAATGCTTTGCTAGACCGTCACTTAAATTTACTGTTTTCTTATTTTAAGGAATAAGTTTGAACCTGGGGCTTGTCATCTTGCATTGAAGGCTTAACCGAAACTAGTCCCGTCAGTTGAAGTGCTGAAATCAAGGTCCCTATTGGCCCGATACCAGACTTCATTGCTATTGATACAGAAGCGTATTTCTGTTGTGGTCCAGATACCCAGGGTAGATGTTGATGGGTGTTCGTGATTTGCCACACCTACGGTAAGAGGTTTCCTGCGACAGTTTGTCAGCCTGTCACCTGACATGCTATACGCTACCTTTCCAGGTGAGCGTGTCCGTTTCCGGTGCTTTGACGAACGACATGAGACTTTGAGATGCGCCATTCTCTGTCCGCATTATCCGGGGTAGATTAGAACTACATTAGCCAAACAATGTGTAAAAACACTTGGTCCATCGCCATGTCGGTGGTGACCTAATCCGCCCAGTGAAAATGTTTGTGTTTGTAATATAGAGATTAGGGAGTCACTTGACCTGTGACGTAACCGGATTGTGGTGCGGACACCTCGCTCGCGAATGAGCCAGTCTAGGGCTCAGTGAAGCTTACACCTGATGAAGTGGCAAGGTGTTTAGTATAGTGGTCAAAGCCTTCCAGGATTATACAGAACTGAAGTTTCTGTAAAGCTAGAATTATTTACATAAGACTAAAGTTGAATACATACGGGTTCTTTCGTTAATCTTGTATCTTTGTCAGTGATATTTGCAGTGGCCCTGCATGTAACATGTGACTCAATTCGCCCTTTGTGGACTGTTAATCAGAAATAAAGAGCCTTGCCCTATTATAAAGCTATTCAAGTGTTTCCGTGGGAACCGATTCCAACAGGAAACATTACCATATATGTATATAGAAGCATATATTTACAATATAAGATAAATTATTATTATTATATTGAATTTCTCGGGAATAGGTACAAATCAAACACTTTTGAAGAATTCTTCATCAACTTACAAAGTTAACACATTGAGATGTTCATAATACTCGTCCGTGAACTATCTGTATCCAAGTTGCATTATGTTTTAATAGAATTCCAGTAGGGGACCCTTGTTAACGACATTCTATTTTCTGGTTTGTTTGGTGTCTAGGGTTCTCAGTGACGTGTTGTCAGTATGACCGGCAGCTGTCTAACAACAAGTTACGTGATGGTTAGGGAACGCTATAAGACGGGTTCGATTACTGTATCGAATTCCAGCAGTCACAACACTTGCTGCTCGAACCTTGAACTGACAACAGAGCTTGACCCCACCCTCTCTGGCCATCAGTGTCCGGCGCTGGCATTGTTTGACATTAAAGCGTCAGAACGGTCAGCAGCCGGATTGTCTGGCGTTGATGTGTGTACGGATAAGGGAAACCATGGCCTTTAGTGGTAATACGTCTATAATAGTTAACTAACCACCACCTCTGACCACACATACAAGAGGCCCCTTAAAGGGCCTGAATCAAATGTTTATCATCATCTAAAACAAACACAAAATTCTGTAATATTTATAACGCTTTCTTTGTTATTATTATTGATTAGTATATATATTTGATTATTTCCTGATATCTGTTTTGAATTATTTACCCCCTATTTTGGCCTCACCAATGAGGAATGACGCAACAACACCACGCTGAATGAGGCTCCCTAAGGCCCTGGTCAGGTAGATTTTTATGACCCCAAATGATCATGTGTGAAGCCTCCACACGATCTAAGGTACCCACTGTTAAATAAACTATACGTTTCGTGATTTACGGAATCCAGGTGTGCTGATTACGTCATAATAATTAAGAATGGGTATCTAACTACATGAGAAGAGGAGTAATT